TGCCAAGTGATTCTGTTTAGTCTGTGTTTTTGTTTTTTGAGTAACGTTGAAAGCAAAGTTCATCATTGGGCGGCTCAACCCCATGTTTGCCTTGTCAAGTGATTTGGTGATTTTACTCAGTATCTAGGCTGCTCGCACAGTTGAGACAGTCGCCTGTTTCGTACTGGGTTCAAACATGCAGTACGGATTGGGATTGGTCAATCTTCCCTTTTGAGCAGCCCAACCCTTCTTTTGGACAAATTGTGGTTGCGGTGTGGCAGTGCGGCAGGTACATTGTAAAAGCCACCGGATTCATGCGGGTCTGTCTTTTTTGAGGGTACCCTGATTGGTTGGTTTGAAAGGGAAACCAAAAGGAAAACCACCACTGTGGAGGGTCTATCAAAAAAAGACACACCCATGCTTTGAGGGGCAGCAGCCAAGGGCTTTTCGCCAGTTTGAACAAGTTTTCGGGGTCCAATTCTGACCCGGTCCCGTGCGCGTGCCCGGGGCGAGAGGCCTCCAAGGGGGAGGATTCTTATCATTGGTTGTTCAACCTACTTGGCAACTAAGTTATGACTATGGTTACCTATAGGTCAACTAGCCCATGCAGTTCCACTTCACTATGGGTCAAAACCAATGGTACCATTTTGTGGTAGGTGCACCCATTCTAGTCTATTTCAGTGGGGATTGGGATCTCTGGCGGTACGGGATTTTGACCCATGGCCACTTATAACCCCGGCAATATCCTACTTACTGAGTAGGTTGAACTTCCAAGTGCATGCCCCTGACTTGGCCAAGCGAACCCGTCACACGTCTGCGCCAGTTGGGCCTGACGAAGGTTTGGCCGCCGGAGAATGGCCTGTTAAAGCAGGACATGTACAGCAATGCCGGCACAAGCTGCGCACGGTACCCGCCACTCGGGCCTGTCTCGAAATTGGCCATTTTGAACCAGAACAACAAGGTTCCCTTGAAGGTGAATCCAGCTTGCCGTGCAACCCTGCACGCCAATGGGCGGACGTCAGCTTTTGTGTTTTTAAGGGGGGCAGCGGGAGAGACTGAGAAGGGGAGAGAAGAGACAGAGAGAAAAGAGAGAGAGAGAGAGAGAGATAGAGAGAGCTAGAGAGAGGGAGGGGAAGCGAAAGAGAGAGAGAGAGAGAGAGCGAGAGCGAGAAAGAGCGAAAGAAACAAAGAAAGAAAGAACGAAAGAAAGGAAGAAAGGAAGAAATAACAAACACAAGAGAGTGACAGTGTCGAGCACAAGTTGTGAGTGTCCCATTTGAGTTTGGCCACGGGCGGACTGCGCTCTCAATCTTTTGAGTGACAGTTTCGCCCCCGGGCCCGACGCCCGGGCGGGTGCAGCCCGCCTTTCAATGCGGCTCTTTTGAAATGAGCATGGGAAGGGTGGCCGAGTTGAGAAAATTTGAGCCACGGAACTCCAAAGGAAACCCATCTAAGTCTCCGGCTGCATAAAGGCGAAGAAAAGATGCGACGTGATCTGAGATCAGGAATCCTGAATCGGAATCCTAAAGGAGGCCGGCCTTTTCAGGTTTTTGGCTTGAACATAGCCCTCCATTTGCTTACGTGTGTTTTCATTTGTTGTTATTTTCCCTTGCTGATGTTAAACATAATTCATCGCTACCGGAAATTTTTTTTGGCCTGGGGCGTCAACCAAATGGAAGTAGCGTGAGCTTTAAGGCATAGGAGTTTGGAAAGGGAATCGGGAAGCTCTTTGGGCATCCCTTGGAACAGGGTGGTTCAGTTTGGGTCATTCCGTCAGAGACCCTGAGAACCAGCAAGCAGAACGAAACATCATCACCCCTGATCTAATCTGAACACTTTTTGGAAGCTTTTGGGAAGACAGCGCAGAGGAAAATCACACTACTTTTGACCCCTCCTTCTTGTGAAGATAAGTGGCCAAGCAAAAGTCGATTGGCAGGCTGCCCTTTGCCTAAGCCCATGATGCGAGGGGAGGGCAGCCTTTGCAAAGGGTATCAGCCCAATGGTTCAGCAGCCTATGTCCCTTTCTGTGGTGGCTTCCCAGTCCCCAGACCAAGCAAGTAGAGGTGTTGGTCGGTGTCATTTTTATACAGTCCTGGTCGCATGGTATCCATTACTTTTTCCTTTCCAGGTTCTTTTGGGGAAGTGAGAGGGCAGCGGGGCCGCGTGATGTGCGGCATCTTTAAGCGGGACCCTGCCCATGCTGATGACGCTTGCCTGGCACAAGCTGGGATTTATCGACAAATCGTTTCAGACAAGAGGCCTCTTAGCGGGCTCACAAGTTCCACGCCGAATTGTCCAAAGCCTTTCTGAAGCGACTGCACTTCCGGCTCTTTGGTCAAAAGTACCTCTTCTCAGATTTGGAGTGCAAGGGCTACATCCGAGAGCCACCTGAAGGGGGGCAACTAGATTCTTAATGGGCAACGGCGAACCTCAGGGTGAGCTGAGTAGATGTTGTGGATCTTCTCAGCTCGGCTGGAGCCCAGCTTGCCCTTTGTGGTAGTTGGGAAAGATCAGAACCTTCTAGCTCCTCTTTCTAGAAATTTCCATTTGAGCTGCTATCGTTTTAGTGGAGAGACACCGGTTAGAAGAGGTTAGAAGGATCCATGGAAACGCTCTTGTGGGCAGGCTTTGCTGGTTAGCCCGACACTGAAGTGCGTGAAAATGTCGACTTTGTGATTGGATCAGGTCTTGCAAACATAGCCAAGGGTGAGGTTTGTTCAGGCTGATGGTTCCCAAAGAAGTTTTTTTCTGGTTTCACGCTGTTGCTCAAGCTGTTGTCATTGTCTTTATTTTAGCAGTTAGTGACAGATCTCAGATGGTTTTCACTTGGACAAGTGGATCGAGCCCGCAGTTCTGGGCTTGACTCGCCCGATCTCAGGCGATGTGTCCAGATAAGTGGAGCCAGAGAGTCTCATTTCCCAAGTTTCTGGACAAGCTTTTCTGGGATTGACTTTCCCAAAGCCAATTGACCTTAAAGTCTTTTTTTTCTGATTTGCTCCATCTTCAAGGTTCCAACAGGTTGACCTTGTATTTCCAGGTCCTCTGGGCAAGTGAAGAGGAAGATCCTTTTAGGGTAAGAATATGTTCTGACTTTTGGATCAATCCACTCAGGAAGCGAGTGGTGGCAACGCCTGCAGTGAAACAAAGCTGTTGCTTGCATTGCTTTTGTGAAACGAACATTGCCATGATGTCATTTACTTGTGGATCCAGCATTCCAGGTCTTGGAATTGTTGATTCCATTTTCAGGTCCACATGAACCAGATTACTTCCGTTTTTTTTTTCTTCCTTTCCCCATCTCATCATTTACGAACGTGCAATCCACGTAGACCTTGAGGGAGGAGTCTCTGCTTCGCCACGCGCGGATTCTGTAGGGTCAGTCCTTGCCATGTCTCTCGCGGCCGGGGAAGTGCGGCGGACTCTGGGATTCGGCGCGTTTTTTTTTTGTTGGTTTCCCTTGCAGGGGTTTTAATCGTCACGTTTGGTTATCAAACGTTGATGAAGGTTATTGTGTGGGAGCTGATGGATGCCCTGTTGTTTGCAATGCCTTTTTGCTGTTGAGCAGTCGAGTCGGCGACTCAGTCACGCATCAAAGACCCCCAAGTGAAAGCGGGGTATTTATGCTTGGATGTTCAACCCGCGTAGTTTGAACACAAGTACTTGTAGTGGTCAATGGATGGGAAGCATCAGTTCCTTTTGTCAGCACGGCTTTCAGAAAAGCGGGTCGGGTTGTGCGAACTTGGACTCGGACATCCAATCAACAAGAGTAGTTTCCCGTACAATCATCGTAAGAATCTCGCAACTTTTACCGAGGTTTTTCAACACAAGCCCCGTGTTGTTTTCGGGACACGTCTGCCTTTTTTTTTGTTGGTGCTGGCTGTAGGCCATGGTGCGTCAGGATGGAGCCGTGGACTGTGATGAATGTAGGGTCCGGCCAGACGTGTCAGATACGGGTGTGTCTTTTTTGTTCAGGGTGGCTTAAAGGGATACCAACAGCAAAATAATGTTTTGTTCTTTTTTGGGGGGGACCCCTATTTGATACACACCCCATATATCCTTGGTGACCTGGTGGGCGGGTGTTGTCCTGCCCTGTGTTTGTTTCGCCGCACTCGCGCGCGCGCCGCCTCCTATACAGTACGAGAGAGTGAGACAGCTCAGACAGGAACGCGGAGCAAAAAGGCGTTTGGGCCGCTGGGTGCCCACACTCTCACCCCTTGGAAGAAAACGTAGAATAGCTAGTGTGTGACTGCTTGATTGGTTGGTTGGCATTTTCTCAGCTGAGTCTGAGAAGTCAAGAATCCTCTACCCATACATGCCCCTTATTCACATGAAGAATGTTAGTTATACTGCGTCCTTGTTGAGTTGAATTCCAGTAGCAGGGCTCGATTGAAAGGAGCATTCAAGTTGCCACGTAGATCATGGATTTCTCCTCCCAAGGCATCTGTCAAGATTAGGCCGGTCCAATTTTATCATGAGCTTACCTGAGAGAAAGGCAAGCTTGACCCCTGAATGTCTTTCCTTGAGCATCCTTGATTTACGTTTTGGCAATAGCCGCCCAAACATCATTGTCCATAGCAAAGCAAGACCGCATGTGCCCAAGAGAATGGAGCGAACAGCCAAGCCAAAGGGGGGCTTCTTGACTTTTTGTCACGGTGTTTCTCGCTTGCCGCGTGCGAATGAACCTTTTGATCTGTAGATGTTCCTGTTCTGGTTTCCCTTTAGCAAGGGCCCCGAGTTGTCTTGGTCAATCCGTTTTGCATGTTGGGCTTTAGCCCAAACAACAAGTTGTAGCTGATTATTCGAATGGCGCCAAACTCTCTGTCAGGCCCTGAAATCTGTTCTGGTTGATTCTGTTTGGGGGCTGCGAAGCAACTCATGCATGTTGGGGGTACATGTGCAGAACCGAGTAATTAGTGTTTCCCCTTGTCCTATGGATCGCCCATTTTGAAGAACCCAAAAGGGCGTTTAGAACAGCCACGGGGCTCGAAAGGCGTCCTGGGGGATTTCCGCCGGTTGGCCGTCAGGACCTGCTGGGAGTGGTCTGCGCGCTGAAATCCTCTGTGGGCCTGCTGGAGGCAGCTCCGAACCGCTTGGGGATTCCTGAATCAAGGAACCCAGAGGGGATGGATGTGTTTTCTTTGGGTCATTCTCCCGTTCCCTGGGAAGCAGCAAGTGGAGGAGTGAATGGCCTAAGTGGCGAAGTCTAGTTGAGAATTGGGAGGTTCGTGTGGGAAAATCGCTATCAACACAGTGCAGTATTGAATGAGAAGGGATTATTCTAGCCTTTGGTGCATTTTGCTTGGCTGTTAGGACTTTAACTTGTTGCCAACTAATGGGTTTTCCACTAAACCGCTAAAAGTTAAACTTATAGCAGGGGAGCAGAAAGCAACCGAGTAGCTTTTGCATGTCGAGCGAACACCCAGGAATCGGGACCTTTGGGGTCCGATTCTTATTGTAGGTTTTGCTACCACATGATGTGAAATTCAGCCTGCCCTTTGTTCATTGGCCTTTCTTGGCTTGTTGAATGTACCTTTTTTGGAAGGTCTCATGTTTCTGCGAGACTCCTTGGAGTAAGTGTCACGGATTCAAACTTCGATTTGTGATGTGACTTGAGTGGCTGCTAAAACCAAAGGTAGACCCCATAGAATCCATCAAGTTTGATGTTTACCCCCTTGTAGCAATGAAATCTGGTGCGGGGGCCCTGGAATTCCAAATTCGGATGTTCATGTCTTGGGGTTTTCCGAATCGAAGCTAGTGCCTGGCTGGGAAACATGTTTAAGTCGGAAGGAATATCCTTCAGGGGTGCCCCCACTTGCTCAAGAATAGTGTTGATTATGAATTGCCCCGTTGGATTTAGATCGGAAGCCGTTCACTGGACATTTGTTCTTTGTCATTGTCCAGGGGGACTTCAGCAAAAGGGTTGCTCTTTGCTCACGGTTCAGGCTGTCCAACCACATCTATACAAGAAGACTCTCCTTTGCCCCAACGCAAAGCTCAGCTTCTCTCCTTTGAGTTGCCTTTCGGTCATCCCCGTACAAATCGAATTGGGGGGAGGGGGGGGTGACCCTGAAGTTCCATGTCTGGTTCCATTTTCCGTTTGGGGAAGACTGGGTAAATGGAGTTGGCTCCCGGACCCCCACCAACCCTCTCCCTGGTAGGGGGAAGGTTCAGTCGGGAAAAAAATCTTCGAGACTTGCGATGTCGACTTGCCGTTGCCTGGCCGTTGGCCATTTCTTTCCCTCGATCGATCCCCTCCTTCACTTCTTGGTTGTTGTTGGCAAACATTTTACATGTTTGCTTATTGTGGTTTAGTGGTTGAAATCTTCACTTGACTGCAAACAAATAAATTGTTGCTCCCCTTCCAGCGTCAACCAAGTCTTGGGGAGTCAAAAAAGATTAGGGAGATCTCAAACATGGATAGTTGACCGTTGCTTTCCCGCAAAATAGAACCGCCCCAAAACAGCACCCTCAAACAAGCACACAGGTCAAAATTAAACCACCAGGAAATGGACCGCAGGTTTTGGTCCGTGTTTCCATTTACCAGGGTTCCATTTTGGGGTTACCCTATTTTTGACCCACAGGCAAACAAGCAAAAGAACACTAAACACGGTGAGGCCGTTCTCTCTCCATTCGTCTCCAGGCGGAGGCCCTCCCCTTTGAGGCTCGCTGAGAAGCTCAAACTTCGGCAGGTTTCCGTTTGGATTGTTTTTGCGATAAAAATGTGTCAGGGCTCCTTAAAAGATAGATTTTGCCCATTTGAAACATGGCTTTTCCACCAAAAGAAAGGGACACCTCCATTTACAAGGCAATGTTCAGGTGTATACTGTAAGGATCCCTGATGAGAGTGATTCAAACGAGGGGTTCCGGACATTTACAGGCACATACCATATTGTTTGGATGGCTGCCTGCTTCTCACAAAACAAACACGGAGGAGCCTGAAACGGAGTCTGTCTGAACGGAAAGTCGGAAGCAGAACGTGCAGGACTTGCCGTACCACTTCGCTCTCGGATGCAAAGGGACAGCCCAGCTAAGAGCAACTTCGAAGGGCGTCTCCTTCATTAAGCGCCAACAAGAAAGCCCTGACTACCAAATGTCAGCCTATTCTTAGTCGAGAATGGCTCCCCTCCTGTCGGTGAATCAAGGTTGGGTGCTACCCTCATAAAGATGCACGGCTGCACAAAAAACACAGAGCCATCATACACCTGCAACCCTTTTCTGGGGTCTCCATCTTTGTTTTCGGGAGGCTAAGTACGAAGGAGCTACCCAGTGGATACCCAGTGCCGGGTTTTTCCTGCTGCTCATTCCCTGCACGGGGTCGGCAACATGTCGAGCTCCACGTGGCTGGCAGAGCTGCCAGCCGAGGAAGCGGCACCCCCTTTGGAGTCAAAGCTCTGTCGAAGTTTGGGACACTGGGTACCCCTCTTCTCACTCCCTGAGTTCATGGGCTTTATACTTTTTGGGAAGACCATTTTGGTGGTAAACAAAAAGTTTGGACTTGTTTTGGCCAATCAACTCAGGAAGCGAGTCTTGATTGCTATTGGGTTGGATCAATGCCTCAAGGTCACCGGCCAAGGATTCTTGATGTTCGGGACCCCGTGAGCTGACCCAAAACGATCGTCATCCGCTAGCGTGTCATCCAACTTGTCACTGATCAACTTGTCCACCAAACTTGTCAGCCAATAGCTTGTGCACCCAAGCTGGTAACACCTGCGGCATGAAGAAAGTGTGGCACCAGGACCACATCCCACGGTCCGCAGGCGTCCCTACCCGTGAAGCCTTTGACGGGGGAGGCTCCCCAGGTGCTGCTTGAGCTGTGACTCGATTCGAATCCACAGCGCGTCGTTTGTTTTTTCGGGGGGGTACGGTGGATGCCCCAAATCCTGCAAGCGAAGCAACCACAAACCATGGAAAGTTGCAGGGCTTCCAACTTGTTCTCTACTTGCAATATTTTGGTTGCATCCACCGTAGCTCAGGGTGGCCAACCGAAAAATCGCAAGTCCAGAAGGCTGACAGGGGTCAAAGTATAAGCACCGCTTGACTGGGGTCCCTGGACCACAATTTTCCTCTAGAAGGGGTCTCTTGGTAGGTTTCATGTCAATCAAGGTGGCTTGCAGGGGACAAGAGGTGCTCCGCGAACATGACCTTTGGCTGGGGTCTAGTTTGACTGGCGTTTGGGCAAATGGGTGGTTTGCTTTGATGAACCTGCCCTCAAATAGCCACTTCCATATCTGTGGGCCTGTTGCCTGCAACACTTTCAGAAATGCCACGTACAGAAAGCAGCTTACATGCCACCAAGGTCATGTCATCCAGGAATGCCACTGTCCATCTTTCAAACTGGGGGGAAGCCCTGAAACGGTTTACTTTCTTTTGGCTTCCCTTTAAACCAACCGCACAAGGGTACCCTCAAAACGAGACATGCTCTACCAGAACCGGTTTCCGGGGGGGTTTCCAGGCACCCGGCTTTTAGCCAAAACCTGTTGAACCGTTTAGAAGGGGTCGGCAGGAAGTCTGGCAGTTTAGAATCTGTGTTGGTAGTGCCAGATTCTAAGTTAGTAGTTATTTTTCTTTGAGTTTTTGTTTGGTCCCAAGCAGTGGCCTTGAAAACCCAAGGCCCTTGCATTAGACTCAGGACAAATCGGTGCCCAGCACTCCCCCGCAAAGACCCTCCTGTATTCAGATTCCGGCGGTAGGCTGTTGCAGGTCTTCTCTGGGCTCAATGAGGCTCTTAAATGGCCATGGGTCAAAAGCCCGTACCCCCAGTGAACATTCCAATCCACACTAAAATAGACTAAAATGGGTGGTGAATTTACCTACCCCAAAATGGGCTCCCATTGGTGTTGACCCACGGCCGTTTCTTACACAGCCTCACCGCTCAGTTGGTTTGTTTGCCTGCTGTCTGGTTGCGTGCTAGAGGCCTGACCTATTGGTGGTGCACAAGCCGGTGGGCTGGGAAGTCTACAACGACCATGGGCCAAAGCAGCTGCGGGATTTCCTGCACGCACCTCGGATGGAATCATATGGCTGTGGGTCAAAAAAAAAAGTACCCCAAACGGAACCCTGGTAAATGGAAACATGGACAACCTGCGGTCCATTTCCTGGTGGTTTCATTTTGACCGACACCCATATTTACAAAACTATAGGAGTAAAACACGCATATTGCAGCCCCAGGACTGGTCCCAGGACCGGGCCTGCAGGACCAAACAAACTTGCCTCAGGTAGGCCTAGGGCCAGGCCCAAAACCAAACCCAGGGGCAAACCCAGCAACAGCCAGGCACATTTTTCCACTGATTCCAAGTTCTATTGATGTGGGCCTTTCCCCAACCCCCCCCCCTTTCCCCTCCCAACGCATGGGATTCCACCGCTAAGTCCCTTTTTGTTTTGGGTTCCCACTAACGATGGGAAGTTTCCTGAAGGGACCATTTGTGCCACTGGTAGGAGGTTTCAGCTTGCATCACTTGCGCATCTGTCGCAAGTTTCCCCCGACCCACAGACCCCGAAACAACATATGGCCGCCAGTGGGACGGATTCCAATGGCACGCGAGAGAGAGAGAGAGAGAGAGAGTCAAAACCTTCTGATAGAGTGTTAGGCCACCCCCTAATGACCGCCCCCGACACGACCAAACTCCAGCATTTACCTCCTTGCTCTCTTCGGGGTTGATCCGCTACGAAGTACGGGTTGATTGTTTTTCCGTGTTTCACTCGTCATCCTTGCTTCCCTGTGATTTCTGGGGGTTCCCTGAAACCGGAAGCAATCCCAACAACAGGTTCCGTGTTCCGATTCTATGTTTGCCAGGTATTTGTTTGGCACAATCCGTGCATGGAAAAAGAAAACACCCCCCTCCAAATGGGTTAGCTGTCGGTATACATACATATATATAGCTCTAGACATATTCAAATATAGAGATTTGCTTGTGGCTTGGCAATGTTTCTGCCCAGTGCTGACCATTTGTCTCCTTTGGGTTTCCCTTTAAACCCACCTAGCTATATATATATATATATATACAGGGTCCCGGCAAGAGGAATCTGATCTTCAGATGCCCTCCCTCAGGTGCCACACTAACGTGGGAGGAAGGGTATATGTACTCCTTGTTTCTAGCTTCGGGTCCCTGCATGGTGGGATTAGGCGGCTGGCGGCGCGGGCAGAGCGCCGCCCATTTGGCGCGACGCCTCCTGGGACTACGGCTTTCTGCACCGCCTGGATGTGCCCAGCAGCGGGCTGATTCTGGCGGCCGGGAGCCCGAGATCTTGGCCGAAACTCCGCCAGGACATGGACCGCAGGTCAGCCACCGGGAAATGGACCGCAGGTGGTCCGTGGTTCCATCCAGGGCAACCCGTTTTGGGGGTGGGAAGGGAGCCGGACTCGGAGCTATCCACATTTGCTTTCAGAGGGAGCCGGACGCGGAGCTACCGCTCGGAGTTCTGGAAGCAACGAAGAAGCAGCTCGTTTCCCCTTTTCGGGCCACTATGATTAAAGGTCCCGAAAGGTGAACCTTTTATTTCCAGGTCCTCCGGGCGAGTGAGTCTTTCGAGAGCAGGGAATGGAGTGAGCCCAGGCCAAATGCGCGAACATGGAGCGGTACCCATGAGTAGCTGTTCCTGGTGAAGTCTTCGAATTGCTGAAAAAAGCAACCGAATTGTATGGCTTGATTGTTCAATCGGACCATTCATGGTGCGCAAGCGGTGGGACGTCGATTCAATCCACCCACCCCAGTTTGAGGGAACAACCCCTGTTGGAAGGTTTGCTCACTTGAATTGAATTTTGGGACTTGCCCTGACGAACCTATTCCACGCGCATGCATGGCTACAATGGATGGAACCCATTTTGATGAATCAGTAGAATTACTAGTTGCTTGAGATGTTGCGGGTTGCACTTTTGGGGTTTGGCCTTGCCGAGGTCTGGGGGGGGGTGCTGGTTGGGTGCGGCAATCATTCGGAGAGAACATGGCCGGTTCTTGGCAGCTCAGCCAGTGGATCTGCAGAAAGTTAGGCTTGCTCAGGGGAATTGGAATTGCGGGATGCGGCTCAGCCTAACTGGCATAGGTCTTGAGCCAACCTTGGGCTGGTTTGTAGCCGTAAGGTATCAAGTATTTCTGTGCCATCTAGAGGGAAGGGAACTGTGCCATTTCGATCAGTTGTGGAAGGCCTAGGTGAGCATTTCCTGTAGCCACTGCGGTTTAGCAGTCTAAAGCAGGGAAGAACAGGCTGAACAAACCCGGTTTGGGAAGAATCAAAGAACCAGCAGTTTCATGCTGCCGTGGAAATTCGGGGGGTCCGTCCACAAACTCCAGCTCACGCTGTCAAATGCCCTTTTCCACATCCGTGTGAGGCCGGTCCTATGTACAAGTGCTTTCTTGGGTGGTGGATCCGAAGGACCCTCTCTTTGATATGCTCTGAGACCTTTTTGGGTGGTGGGAATGACCCTCTCTTTTGACATGAGCAACTGTTTTTTTGAACCTCAAGTGAGGCCGGTCCTATGTACAAGCTCTGCCTTTTTTGGGTTAAAAAAAAACTCTCTTTGACCAAGGTAGAAGTCCCATTCCTTTGCCGCCCTCAGAATTGCCTAGGTCCCCCAATAGTGCCCTTGCTCACCCTTCTTAGGGGGAGGGTTCCCCTACTAAAATAGACAAAACCGAAAAAAGGGCACCCTTATAAGCTCTCTACTGGAGGACCTAGTTGCCCTTGCTTCGCCTCGGCCTTCGCCCAGGCGAAGAGCTATCGGGGCTACCGAGCTCTTCAGGTGCAGCTGGCGACCGGCCGCTCGGCCTCCCGAAGTCGTGCGACCCGGGGCTTCCTGGGAATTCGCGGCGAGGCGCTCGAGCCGCGAGCCGCTCAGATGGAGGTGATTGAGCCAAAACCGGGGCCTAGAAACAAACCCAAGTTGATGTCCGGGCCTTGGTAGAACAAGACCTAAGTCTTATGTCCAGAGTTTGCAAAAGCTGATATGTGGGCGTTTCGGAACGCAGGCGCGTGCGAAAGGCTCAATAGAATCTTGCTGCGCTCCTAAGCTCAGGACTCGCCTGTTGTGCCCCTGCAACTACGTGGCCTTGTTTAAGTTCTTTATGGCGTTATAAACCCCAGTAAAACCCGTTTAGTTTGAAGAGCCCTTGAGAACCATAGGCAGCCATAATTAAGGGACACCGCCCGTTTTTGAGCCCAGGCCGCATGCAGCGCGAGTACCTGGTGCTCTCGCACGGGCTGGCGGAAGCTTCGCGGGGCAGCTAGATGGCAGTGGCCCTTACAAGCAAATCCCCTCCGGTTGGCCTTGTTTGTTACACATGCCCCTCTTGGTGGGTTCAAGCATCACTTCTTGACCAGTGACCCGCTTGACCATGGCCATTGTGGTTATCCATTTTGCCATGACTGCATAAGGGCGCAGATAAGTCTGAACAGCTTGTAACGAGCTCACCTACGATGAGGGTCTCTTGCGGATACCTTGTCTCAGGTGTGTGAATCAACTTTGCTTGCTCCCTGATTCAGGGATTCCTTCAGGTTTCTGGATTTCCGTGCCTTCATTTGCCCAGCCAAAAGCAAAAGCACGCAAAACGGGTGGACAAAAAGGGAAAAAACTGAAAAACACAACTGGAAACACGGAGAACTCCGATGTTTCCACCGGCACACGCGGAAACACGGCGGCGCACGGTGGCTTTCGCTTAGGCCGCGTCCGAGCTTTGCTCTGGGAGGCTCCGATCACCCAGGTGGGCCTGGGGCGGCCGGCGCTCACCAAGCTCAAGGCGGGGGAGTTGGGGTCAAACCTTCCCCAGAATTAGCTCCCCTTTTTGCTTTTTTGCTTTCTTGGGATTCCCTTTGTTTTCCACTCACCAGGCAAAACAAAAATATTCTTGCTGGGGTCCTAATTCCAGCCAAGAAACGATGGCGCCCAACGCGGTGGTTTCATGAGGACCCCAAACTTCTTGGTGGCCCCCAGCCATCCAATTCCTCGGCTTGTTAGCTGTTCAACTTTTAGCGGGGGAGCTGAGGGCAGCCCAGACTTCCATTTGCTTTGCTTCTGGTTTCCCCATGGTTTGAAGGGAATCTATCACTACTGGAGATATATGGTTTTGGTTCAAGAGGACTTGAGCAAATGGAAGCAAATGATGGTGTTGGTTTTCCCTTCAAGCCTATCCATAGCTGGGTTCCCTGAAACTAAAACAGGGGGCGAACTTCAAAACTCAAAAGTCGGTTCGCACTTTGGTGGTTGGAGCCCGGTGGTTCGGTGGTTCAAAAGAAGGGCGCCGGGGTTTCAAGTCCGGAATGAGGGGTGGTTCCCCTTTTAGAAAGGAAATCATCTTTTCTAGAGGGTGCCGAGGTGGACATGATTCAGAAACCTGTCCTCTTAATATGGGGCTATTTCTTTCCAAAAGTGGTCTGCAAGGGGACACCCCCGGTCAAAATCAACCAAGGTTATTAGTTTGTTTCCCATTATTATTTTCCAACCCCAAGAAGAAAGGGCTTCTTCAAGAGAGGTTTCCTCTACAAATGTTCCATGTCAATGTGTTGGGGAGTACCCTTTTTCCGATGGTGGAAGTGGCACATCAGGTGCTTCCTGGGTGCTGCTCTGAGAAAGTAGCCTTCCAGAGCCCACGCCAATGTCTAGTTTGCCCAATAGACAGCAAAAGGGGCCGGGTATATATGTTTGTTTCCCGGGCTTTTAACGACGGGTGCGGATACAATCGTCTTCCCACACCCGCGCGCAAAAGAAGTTGCCGTTGGAACAGCACGTGGACAGAAGGAATGCCAAAGAAGGATTACCGACAGAAAGGCTACAAGTTTTTTTCCACTCAAAAGGCTCACAGCAGGTTGGTCACTTTTGGGACCAGCCCGTTCTTTTTGGCCACTAAACCGGGGCCATATTTGCTTCCTATCCCAAGGGCACATCGCCCAATCCCATCGGTCCGTCCCCAAGAGGCACAATGGAACCGTAGATGGAATTCCTGGGGCTGTCCCTGTTCCCCAATTTTATTTGGGGGATGGGGGACAGAAGGCAATCCAGGCAAACTGAGCGCCGAGTAGGGACTTGTTCAGTATTGTGTGCAAAATGCCAGTCGCGAGGGAGTTGCCCACTTCTGATTAGCAAACTAATCCTGAATGAAGCTAAGCGATCCCCCAAACAGATCTGGGGGTGCACATCGGGTGTCAAATAGGCGCCCCGGTTTTGCAAATTCTTTCTGGCCATTGAGTAGCGGACCTTAATTTGTTGGTTGAATCAGGTCGGCTTTTCCGAATTGCAGCCACAAAAAGCTGTGAAACTTTTCCCAGAGGGGGTGCTGCAGCAACCAGCGCGAGAAGGAAGATTCGTTTTCAAGTTGGCACCTGAAAGGAGACCTGCCAGTCAAGCATGCAAAACTCCAGCTGGGTGGTCGAACTTCAACCAGGAAATGGACCGCTGGTTTTAGTCCTTGGTTCCATTTGCCAGGGATCCATTTTGGGACAAGCCCTATGTTCGATCCAAATTCCAGCAACGGTTTAGAGGATCTAAAGGCAAAGAATGTGCCGGGCCCAGGTGTTGGCCCACGCATTTGCCGATGGCCAGGCATTTTCTGCACCTCTGGCATGGTTTCGGCATGCAGCTGGGGAAGGAATCAGAACAAGTTTCCCGCAACAAGCCGAAGCTGGGGTTTAGCAATCCTGGGTCCTTGGGATATATTATGTTCCCGTGAGATGACTGGCAGTCGCCCAACTCTTTGAACAAGCACTTTTCCTGCTTGTGTTTGTGGGGTCTGGGCAAGGCAATCCGCTTTCAAGTCAAAAGGTAGTTATGTTGCCCACTGGTCTCACAAGGAACAGCCCCACTTTTTCATGGTGCATGTGACATGGTGTTTGGGTCTGGGCTGTCTGTTCCGGTTGCAACGGCCTTCTACTACGTTGGGCCGATGATTTTTCGCCGTTCAAAGGATGGGATGAATTAGTGTAGACTCATTTGCCCCAAAGTCGAGGCTTTCTGCGGCAAAGCAATCGCCCCCAACCAAGTACACGGAGTCTAAACAAGGGGTCGGTCAACTGGAAATGCCTTTACAAAAGTTTGGTTCCATATCCATTCGCGGGGGAGTGAGTATCACAGGCAGTCTTTACGATGGTCCTAAAGGCTTCGCCATGAGTGCTACTCTTTTGTCAATCAGAAGTCTATTGAGAGCTCACCTGGAATTAAACGAGCAAGGTCTTTTACTTGGGTGTGTACATTCTTTATTGGCACCCTTAGGGAAACCAAAGGAAAAACAAAGCCATTTGGGTGGGTGAAATCCTACAAAATACACACCCACCTGAGGGGATCCTCTACTAGGTCCCCCAATAGTGCCCTTGCTCACCACCCTTTTTTGGAGGAGGGCTCCCCTACTAAAATAGACTACGGCAAAAAGGGTACCCTTATTCTAGCCTCTGTACTGGAGGACCTAGCTGATCTTTGTTGGGAGTATTGCGGCTTTCGCAGATCTCGGATAGGTAACCCGCAGGCCTCCCTCCGAAACCAAAGCCGCGAGTGAGGCTTTGGCCATTCAGATCGCCACCGGCCGGAAGCACCAGATCAGGAGTGGTCAAGATGTGAAAGGCCTCCAAGCCACTCACTTGGAAGGTTCTGGATCATACTGTGGGACCAAATCCATTTCGCACCACCTAAAAAACCCTAGCATGACGATTCCCTTATAAATACCAGCTAACAAATGGTTTCCCATGGTTTCCAAGTGGTGCACGATCTTGTCCACCCACAGGACTACCCTTCCTCCCACCTTGCCATGGCACCTGACAGAGGGTCCCAAGAGGAAGTTTATTTCTTCCAGGTATTTGCCACAGGGTGCTATGTTCGTGGAAGGGAGGGTAACTTGAAAGATTCTGGACCTCAGCAAGATCATGTTCCAATGTTCCAAAGAAAACTGGGGAACTTCGGGACTGCAACGTCTGCAATCTATACTTCCCGTTGCCACGGAACCAAACATGCTCTTCCACACCCTCTTCGTCAGGTGCCAGGGGTAGTTGGCAGGGGGTAGCGTCAATGGAATCGTACGCTTCCACCGGAGAATTGGGGTTGCAAATGGGGTGGGCGTACAGCCTTGAAAGCGTTTGGGGTTTCGTTTTAGGAGTCCTAAAGGGTTGAACTTCCCACCAAGCTCTGAAGGATCAGGACTATTTTGGGCATTTTTAGGCTCTCGGAGCTTCCCCGGAGAAAAATCGGCTAAAAGTCAGCCCTGTTGAGGGTTCCTCGGGTAGGAGCCATGTAGCGCACATCGGCCATCCAGTGGTGCGGGATGGGCGGTATGCCAGCAACTCGGCGTTTTATTGAGACAAGTCGGGAGCACTTCGCTCGGCCAATATGGCGAGTGGTTGGTGGCCTGACTTGCCTGCAGCTGGGTTAGCCCCCAGTAGTGCCCTTGCTCACCCTTTTTAGGGGGAGGGTTTCCCTACTAAAATAGACTACAGAAAAATGGGTACCCTTATTCTAACTCTACTGGAGGACCTAGGCTGGGTTAGCTCCCACTATGAAGACTCCTTATTTGGGATCTTGGTGAATGAAGGTAGTGCGCGCGTATGCTTGTCCATTCCTGCTCTTCGCCACTACCACTCACTCCCACTGGTTTGGTTACCCAGCTTTGTCAGACATGGCCTGGCTGCGCTGGTTGAATGCTGCACGGTGCCGCTTCATGTTGGATTGATGAGCCAGATGCAACTTATGCAGCCGTTGAAAGAGAAGACGAAGGGCGCCCCTGAAAAAGTTGTTCTACATTGCCAAACGGAGTCCTTTATTTGACTGCTACTTGGTTGGGCCCGTTTTAAGAGTAACTTGCGTACTTGATGGATTGACCCTCTAGCCACCAAGCGGTTGAGCTTGTTGAGCAGCGTGCACGAGCCAATGCTCCAACATAGGGCACGGGCACGCGGTTCCGAAGGTGCCCGCCTCCAAGTGTGTTGCTCCAGTTTCCTTTTGCTTGCCACGTGCCTTAGACTTGCCATGTGCCTTTGCACCGTTGCCACACATGCAGGAAATCGCATTAATCTAGGTAGCTGTCCAGATGGTCAGTGATAGGTTCTGTTAAGGCTTCCAAACTCTAAGAGGCCCTAAGGCTTCTCATGTGGAGTACCTGTGCCCTTGCACCAGCCATTTGCCGGCAAATATCCGAGGTCACCCCTGCACCTAGGACCACAGACATACCTGAAACCAGATCACGTCCACACCCGAAAGCGAGTGCACATTCGCACACGGGAATGTGTTTTTTTTGGAGAAGCGGGCCATGTGGGGTCATGGCGATGGGCTGGCAGTTGACTACCAAGGTGGAACATACCCAACAAGGGAGAACCTTGGTTAGCCGTTTCACTTCACAGCTGGGTGGCAGAAGCCAGAGGGCTGTTGCTTGCACACAGCGACAATGGCCTTCCCCCCTTTGTATCGTCTATGCATATAGCCTACAATGGTGGCCCCCTCAAGTCATGCTAGAATGGATTCCCTTTGTTCAAGCGGCCCTGCTCCCAAGGTGCTGCCACCTTTCGCGGGGACCGACGCCTGTGCCGGGGCATCCTGCCTGATCACAGCCGTGCTTTTTGTGGCCAAGCGGTTCCCCTGAAGGCGAGCAAGTAACAGACATGGCAGGGTGGGAATCCCGATTTGGCAGAAAAGATTGATGTTCAAATTTCCGCCGTGCTCGATCTTGCTGACAGCTGAGGCAGCTTTTTGCCACTTGTCTGCGCTTCATGTTCTGGGCATCGCTATGGCATCGCTTGCATGCCCTGTGCAACATACATTTTACTATAAGCGGCAGACTCATGTTTTGAGTTAACGGAGACATACTTCCAAGGTTGTTCCACAACGTGCTGGCCCAGATTTGGAGCTTACAACTTAATTGTTCAAATCATGAACCCCCCTGGCCGATTCGAAAGAGCAAGCGGAATGTTTGATCCTGAGCCCTTCAAGATCTAGATGGATATGTGCCCCCAAAATTGGGCGAGCCCCACAAATTGGTTGGTTTCCCTTCCAAAACAGGTACCGGGTACCCTATGAAACCACACCGAATATTTACACCCGATGGCCTTCGTGGGTCCGAGGCACCGATGGCGTTTGGCCTTCGATGCCGGGGGCTCTCGACGAGTGGTGGAGGCGTCGGCACCGAGTACAAGTCTAGCCCGGAGACGCCGCACTTCATCCGCCCTCTTCTTTGGTGCATGCTGCTTGGATGTTAGGACCTTATTGTTTTGTTGCCAGCTAGTGGTTTTTTTTTAAATTGAACCACTAAAAGTTGAGCTTTTTTAGCAGGGCAGCAGAGCAACCGAGTCTTGTTGCCTGCTCCAGGTTCTTTTTGATTGTTTTATGCAACCTGAGGTTCGCCAAGGGATTCTTTGAAACTTTAGGGGACTAGGGGGGGGTTGTCCTCTATCCTCTCTTAGGTGTCCGACACGCCGAGCAATGTCGGCGGATGATTGTGCAATCTGAGGTTCGCCAAGGGATGTTCTTAGGTTGGGGAAGGAAAGCCGAGGTAGTTCTGGTTCGTTTTTCTTGCTTTTCTTTTGGGGCACGCATATGGGCTGGCACCCTCATGCTTTTTACTGAGAGGGGTGGCACCCACGGTTCCGGAACCTCGCTGAAGATGGGCATTTCTATGCTTACGCTTTGGAGCTGTGATACTGATGAGCGCTTTGGAAGCAACATTTATATGCAGACTTTTCAAGCAGGGGTATGGCAAGTCGCTAGCGGGTTCCCTTGAAGAGGCATCAAAAGTATGCGTGCAAGACCTAGTTGAACATCAAAAGTATGCGTGCAAAACCTAGTTGTTAAGAGGTTGAACATCCATTTGCGTGTGTGTGCCGTGTGCTTTATACTGTGGATGGGCGAAATCCTGCACCACCTAGGAAAACCTGGAATGATTATTGCCTTGTAAATACCAACCAGCACTGGTTTCGCATGATTTCCAAGTGGTGCGAACGGATTTCGTCCATCCATAGCATCTTGCTTGATATGGCCATGGGTCGAAATCCCGTACCCCCAGTGAACATCCCAATCCAACCACTAAAGTAGGTTCTAACATGGGTGGTGCACCGAAAACCCCCAAAATGGTACCATTAGTTTTGACAACCACAGCCATATCTTTCGGAGGCCTTGGTTGCTTCGCGCTCTTTGCAGGTGCCTCTTCCGCCAGAGCTGCAGCTGGCCCTGGCGCGCCTCCTGCCCAAAGCAGGCGAGGCACAAAGCGTTCAGACTTAAAGTTCCGCGAATTGCCCGGCGACCAAAAATACATGGCTGTGGGTCAAAACTAATTAGGGTAACCCTAAAATGGGTTGCCCTGTTAAATGGAAACATGGACTAAAACCTGCGGTCAATTTCCTGGTGGTTTAATTTTGACCCATACCTACATGAGTGCCCTGTAAATACACATATATATATGTACAGATTGGTTTGTTTTGCTTTTTGATGTTTTTTGTGTGTTTGGTTGGTTCGTTGTTTGTCGGTTCGGTCGCTCGTTTGTTTGGTCGATCGATTGGGGGGTTGGTGAGTTGCTTGCTTGCTTGGGTGCTTGGTTGCTTAGTTTGGCGAGTGTTATCCTTGGTTTCGTTTGTTTGTCTGTTTGTTTGTGTATTTTGTGTTGCTCCTTGTTTTGTCCTTATCCGTTTGAACGCTGGCTGGCTCCGGTCAGCGGGCACGTTTGCACAAATCCTCACTGGGAACTCACATTGAAGCCCTCTTCGTTTGTTTGTTTCTTTGTTTGTTTGCTTGTTTGTTTGCCTGCGTACTTGTTTTTTTGTTTGTTTGTTTGGCTCGCCCGTTTGTTGCCGTGTCTGTCCCTCAGGGGCGTGCGATAGTTCTCCTGGCAAGAGGAGATTTGCGAGGGGGCTGTTTGATTACAAGTTGCACACGGCCTTTCGCAGCGACCTATCGGAATCATTGCGCTGGAAAAGCCGGGCACCTGCTCCAAACTAGCAAAAATCCAATGGCTTCCAATTTTTGTTTCGCAGGATTGGGTGAACAGATAAACCCATTCCTTTGGTTTCCCTTTTTCTTTGGCTTATCTCGGTTTCTTTTAGTTTCCGGTGGCCTCCCTGTGTCCAGTTTTTTTCGAGTTTTCTGCTCGAATGGGAGCGATTTTCTTCATGGATTCTCGCTTCTCCGGTTTTCGTGGGACTTGTGAAGGGCCCCCCATTGCAGAACGCTTCGCGTCATCTCAGTCCCCTGAAAGTGGGGGTCATCATGTAAACTCCGTAGGTTGCTCTTGAAGATCTTTTGCGCCCCTTGGGGCCTCAGAGCCTTGGGGTTATGTGGGGCTATGGGCGGCTTTGATGGGGAATCTCAGGACGGACTGCGGGGGCCTGCGCTTAGGCCGCTTTTGACTCTTTACATAACCCATTTGGTTCCCGGTTGTGTTTGTGACTCAGTGGTTGAACTTTGCTTCCCAGTGTTGCTTAAGCTTATTTGAAATGTTTGTTCATGGTCCCCATAAACCTTTGGTCTTTTGCAAAAGTGTGGGATGCGAGGCACCAACGGCTTGCGCGGCTTCCACCTGGCTGAAACATGGCTCTGTGTTAGCTAGACCCGTCTCTAAGACCGCATGGGTTGCACTTGGGGAGCCTTGGGATGTTCCTCCGAGGTGAGCCATTTGTTGCACCCTAGTTTGCATGGCATCCAACAAGGGTCTGTTGAAGGCTTTTGGGAAATGGATCTCATCTTGGGTTCCTTCTGGAGGTGTATAGCGCAACCACCAATACGAAACCACCAGAAGGCCCCTTTGCGAGGAGATCACAAATCCCCGCATCTCTTGATTGATTCCATGGCAACGGCGCGAGAGTCCCTCAACTAGCCCCAACTAGTTGAGACCCGCCTCTAGCGTGGTAGCCAAAAAGGGTGACTGTGTGTGGGAGTCTCTTCTTGGGGCCTCAAAGAATCGGATGTGCTTTCGTTGCCAGTTCGTGTGGGGGGGGGGGAGGTTCTTTTGTTTATCCCTTCAGTTCACGGCAGCACACGGCAGCCCAAACTGATACCCTCAACACAGATACCCCGTGCGTTTTTGCTCCCATGAATTCGGAATGAATTTGGATTGAACTTCAAAAGCAAACCAAACAGGGGGACGGGATATGTTTGCTAACTTCTCTCTTGTTGAACATATACTCTTAAACCTGGTTCATTTGCACATACAACTGCCATTCCTCCTGAATCTGTGTGATGAACGATGACAGCGTTCACTTCTTGGCTTCTCCATTTCGTGTCCTCGTCCTGTCGGATCTCCGCAACCGGCGCAGGCGGCCTGGTGCCTTTTCGCGGCTCCTGGGAGGACTTGCAGCCCCTGAGGAAGAAAGGAACCGAAAAACCGGTCGCAGCCGCCGCGGATTCGGAAGCGCGTCCGAAGGGAAAGCCCGGTTTGTTTTGTGAGCGCGTGGTAATATTTTTGTTGGGGTATCAACCCAGTAAACCCCAGTAGTAATATAAAAGGCTGAGTAAGCAACATGGTTTTTCATGACTTCCATTGAAATCAGCCGCTTGTGTTACACACCCCCTGTGCAAAATATCCACGGCGGTACATAGGCCCAGTTATGACGTTTGTTCACTGTGGGATGGTTTTTTCCCTGGGGCAGGTAGCGCTGAAGGGCGATCGCCGCGTGGCGCGGGTGCTCAGAGAGGGGCGTTTTCGCGGTTGTTTTTTTTTGGGGGGGGGCTATGGGCGCACAAGGGGTGCCCGGTGCGGAAACATGTGGGGATTCAAAGGGCAGTAGATGCGATTTTTCTTTTTCGGGGGGAGAGTCCAGCTGTTTTGCATTTTCTTTGGGACCTGTTGTGTACCCATGCTTGTTGAGTCCAGGATATTTTGGGAACAACAAAGAGATTCCCATGTCTTGGACCCGACCCTTTTAGGAAAGAGTATCTGAGAGGACTTGTTTGTGTTTATGGCAGGGCTGTTGCTGGCGGCCGCTCGTCGCAGAACATTGCGTAGTAGCTGGCGTTCTACGTGTCCTGGCATATCCTACCCTTAGACACCACAAATACATAGACACACCTGCGTATATAGATAAATGTAAACAACGTGTCTGTCTTCAGATGCATACATGCATGCATGCACGCATGCCAACCTACCTGCATACCTACATACCCACCTGCATACGCCTGCCTGCCTGCCTTCCTGCCTGCCTGCATACCTATATGCCTACATAGCTAAGCAACATACACACATACATATTAACAGAACACATGTGAGCACATGGTTTATTTGCCAAAATGTCTACATAATGAACCAATACATTAAACACAATAAATGAATATATATATATATATACATACGTACACATGCAAATCTCGATGCATATGTATTTGCCCCTCCCTTGGCGATGTTTGCCTGGAGGTCTACGCACGGCTCCAAGCTGTGCAAAGCCTGGCGCCCTGCGCAAGGCGCGACTCGGTGTCCAGCTCGCCGGTCACAGTCTTATAAACTTCCTTAGCTTGGGCCATTTTTACAATCTTCCGTCGAGATTTTCTCTGGTCTTGGATATCTGCAAATGGCTCCAGGGATTTTATGAACATGGGGTTTCCTGCAGTTTTATGAATCGGTTCTGGAATCTTGTAAAGAGTGCCTAGGGATTGATGACGCACGTCCTAAGGCTTGCCTTTGAACAAACAAGTTGTGGCTGGTTTACCTTTGGTGGCGTGGCTGAAGGTGATCGATCGGTTGAGCCCAGAGTTCCGTCGTCGTGGCGGGTTTGGCTATGCCAGCGGTCCAGAAGGCGGCCTGAATGCGTCGCAAGTCCGTCGGTCCCCCGCAAACGGAACGGCCATGCCAAGATCCAGGTGATCCATGCAGCACACGTAGGATTGAGTGCTTCTTTGCTCAGGTTGCACTCAAGTTTTGAAACATTCCGTCACTGGTCCCCTTTGAAGAAGACCAAAGGAGGGTTGTTGAGACATAAAGGACAGAACCCGCGTCAGAGCCAGTAAGAAGTGTCCTTTGTGCCAGCTTCAATCCGGGTTACGTCCTAAGATGCGCTTGTTTTCTTTCTAAACGATGAGCACCTTTGATTTAGTCCTCCGGGTGAATCAAAAGTTCACGTGGAGTGGGGGGATAGAGATCCAACAGGATCTTTCTGAACCACAAAATCAGACGCATTCTGCTGGTATGTGGAACCTTCTGTTCATGGAACCCTTTGTTTTGGGTGAAGCAATCGGTGAAGCAACTGATGAAAGTTTTGACCCTTTGGGTTTGCAAAGAATTTGACCCCAATTCGGACTTTACAAGACCCAATTTGGTGGAACCTGTTCATAAAGCCGTGTTGGGTGTAGCACTGGCAGGGGCAGCCCACGCGCCCTGGCGGCCGTGGTGGGCGGCTTAAAGGCCATGACCGGGATTGTGCACAAGAAGCCTAGGCTTGCGGTCCTTTGGGGTGAAAAAGTCACTTTACAACGAGGTACTGGGAACCCCGGATTCATGGTTTCTTAATGTAGGGGGTGTTTCCTTTTTAGTAGTGGGGATTTGGAGGGAACACGCCCCGATTAATATGGAGGGCTTGTTAATCCGGGTCAATATTTCTACTGGAGGTTTCTGTTGGTTTCTGTATGAAGAAATGCTGTAGGGGCTGGCCACCACTTGCATTCCGAAAAACAACAAAAGGAACGAAATCCTTGCTTTCCCCATGGTTACTGAAAGTTTCGACCTATTTTTCTCAGCGCGTCGGCGCGTCGGCTCGTCGCAGGTTGAGGCTCCATGGGAACTCCGCTAGGGCCCAGTTCCTCAGTTCCAACAGATCTGCCGCTAGTGGAGGTGAGTGGAGGGCATCTGCGAATGGATGAAGTTGCCATACGACTCGCACATCCGTAGGCATCAACGTATTGCTTGAGAACGGTTGATGTTCTTGCGGTCTCGCGTGAGCGCCCTGTATTTGGCCTTTGCTAGTTTGCCAGCTTCAAACGCAATCCTTCGTGCTTCCCTTGGAGTATGAAAGAGCTGGCTTTGCTGGGGCTTCCCACCCCGGATGGATTAGGATAGGCCAACCCTCCATTTCGTGAAGAGCCAGCCTGAGGAGCTGATGATTCGAAAGCATGGGCTTGATTTCCCAGGGGAGCCTTTCCTAAACAGGGTGGCGCAGTCAGTTGATGGCAACACGCCGTGACCGAAGACAACGAAACAGGACGAGCACATCGCCGTGAGACTGGCAGCATTGGAGGAGCGGCATTGGGGATATCGCGTCAGTAGTTTGATCCAGTTATCACCTCAAATCCTGGACCTCCCGGGTTCGACTCCCGGCGCCCCCAAGGTCAGGATAAGGGTGCCGAGTCAGGACCAGTGGGTCAAGTCAAGAAACTGGTGGTGGTAAGCACTACGTAGTCCAGGTTGGGCGTTTCTTCCAAAAAAGGTCCAAAAAGGGGCAAGTAACCAAAGAGCACTTGCCTTTCAGGCTCCTTTTGAAGTGCTTTTCAATCCCTGTGGAAAGTCCCATGGATTGAGCACTCGAAGCCGAGAAAGACTAGAACCAGTGCTGCCAGTGCTTGGCTACTTTGTGTGCCCACAGCCTACGCTTCCTCGAGCTATGCTTTCGTGGCATTGACCTTGAGAGGGTCAATCGGGAAGGGGAGCCACCGCCTGCGCAATCCAACTGCTCTTGCTGTGGCTGCCATGAGTGGCAACTCGAGGATTATGCCACTTCTCCTAAACTAAACGACTTGTGTGAAACGACTATGAAAGAATATTGCACACCGCACATACCCAAATGTTGCTTGAGAATAGCATCCTTTACCACACCCCGTCAGGTTTTAGCAACACGCGAAGGATAAAATCTGAAGTACCTGAACAGCAATTAATCCCTAAGGTGGTAACTGCTATATTCCTTGGGGGTTTGACCCAGGGTCTGCAGTATTGAAACAGAATCCCTACAAAGCAAGATTCCCAACTTTTCCCCGTCGAATACGGTAAATCCTGGGCTTTGATATCCATCCTCTTGCAGGAGCTGGTAAAGATGACGCAGGGCGACAGCAGCAACCTAAGTCGTTCGCAGCTACTCACTTCTCACTCCACGAATAGAACACTCCGTTTTCAACTTGCTTTCAATTGCTTACTGCCCACATGAGCATGGAACCCAAACACAGTTTCAAAAAATATGATGCATCAAGTCAACTTGGCAGCACGTGCGTTTGCAGCTTATTGGTGGGCGGTGCAAGCAACCGTTGCTATGCGTTTGTGTTGGTTGTTTTTACTCCGGATATTTGTCATTTTTTGTTTTTATCATTATTATTTTCGACGCTTGGGTTCATTGAAGTTAACCCAATAGTTGATTGCCACATATTGGCAATAGCTCCCAACTTTACGGCCTGCGGGATAGCACTAGAGAGAGAATAGAGAGAGAGGGAGAGAGAGAGAGAGAGAGACAGAGAGGGAGAGAGAGAGAGAGAGAGAGCCCTGGTTCTTGCAGAAAATGAGAAACCATAACCACCACCCCACAGAAGAAAAGAACATGGTTCCCAGCCATCCGGTTCCTCAACTTTTGAGCTTCACTTGTGGCATGGGATCTGAAAACCTCGCCCACAACTGATCGTTCCCAGCCACAAGTGACGAAGCTCAAAGCGTCGAGGAACCGGATGGGATCTGAAAACAGAGAAATATTTCGCCCGCAGCTTGTGCATGTACTAACATAGACTGGCGCAAGAAATTCCAATAGATTGAATCACACAGGCTGATTCCCTTGTTTACTAACCATAGTATGGATGATGGTCAAATGCGGTTTCTAGCCACACCTATATATACTTATATATATATATATATTTATGTCTTTACTTAATTAAAAAGGAAAACAATCACATAGATTGTTTTTTAAAAGAATAAACACACATAGCTGTCGCAATTTTGGTGACTTCGATCAAGGTGCTGTTGGCCCGGAGCTCGCAGCCAAGCTGGGGGCCTTGAAGGCGAGGCCGAGTGGGGGGTCCGTGTGCCCTCGGGTCCAAACATCAGGGGCCCCCCGTTAAAGGGTCGCAAGAAAGATGGTTTCCTGGCAAAACCCAAAAAAGCCCCGCTTAAGGGGGCTTAAGGGGGGGTGGCTTAAGGGGGGGCTTAAGGGGGGGCTTAAGGGGGGGCTTAAGGGGGGCTTAAAGGCTAAGGGGCGTAAGAGAACTGTCCAAAACGCAGTTGTTGGTGGGGGGTGATGGTATGTTATCCTTCCTGTTCGGGCGCTGGGGTGTTTGGACCCTTTAAAGCCACGTGAGAAAAAGAACCACATGTTGCACTAAGACCATTCCACTGTTGCTCAGTGGGCTCCACCGTTGGAATCCCTTTTTGACCACCGTCAAGCCTCGAATGGTTCCTATTCTTTGACTACCAGGGTCACTGGGCGACTTGGAAAACAGCCAACGAGTTGCATGCCACATGCCAACTATTTAGGCACACCCTCAGTACTTGATTACTTCAATGTCCTGAAATAATTCCGCAGAGAAACATGGAACCCAACACAAACCAGGGTGGCCATTTCTGGAAGATCAGCTTTGCCTTGAAGGTTGCGTGGCAATGTTGGTGGGAGGGTGCTTAGGTTGAAATGGTGATGCGGAGGTTAAGATCCAAATGCAACCGGGCCTGGGCATGCATTGGCATTGTCAACCAAGTGGCTTAGTGTGCCCTACAGATATACGTGTATATATATATATACATACACATACTATATATGTATACATGCATGCATATAATACTCATATGCATATGTATAAGGGGCCACCTTTTTGGATGATGTTCACAGGAGACCAAAACAAAGCGGTCTCATTTAAAAGTAATCCCCGTTCTGATATTTGTACGAACTCAAGCTTTATTGCGGGCTGCTACGCCTCCCGCCCTTTCCTGCGTTGCCACTCCGAGGTCCTTGGGTCTTCAACCGATGTCACCATAGCTATGCTTAGCATGCCAGCTGGGATTAGTTACGGAGCGGATTGGCCGAACAAAGTCCAAGCCCGTGTTTTTCCCACTAAACCGGGCTCGCTGAATATGGAAGTCCAGGAACTTTTTTTGCTGGTGCTCAGCAGGGAATGAGGGAATGACCCTTATGACCATCCAACTGGTGGTTTCCCGCAGAATCCCTGGGTTCATCCAACCACATTCCCTAGCTATCGCACTAGCAAGCCTTCGCCGACCTCACGAATCGACGCTTTCCGCTTGCGTCGAAGGCCCTTGCGGGCTGCGAGGATGGCCGCGCCTTTGCGGCCGCCTGCGGGTGTCTATCGGAGCGGGGGGCGCGGGGCTGGCCCGGCTATGGGTGTGTCTAGAAAAAGGGGGTGCCCGCAAAATGGCGAGTTTCCTTGTTGGTTTCCTTGGAAAAACACACCAAAAGGGGTACCCTCAAGAATCACACACCCAGTTGTTGTTCTTTGCTCTTTGTCTTTTTCTTCGGGGGGGCTGGGCAACGTCCCGGAAACAACAAATGCGGTTTCTGTAGCAAACAAGAAGACCCTGAAAAAAGGCGA